TCTTGATGAAGAAGATTACTGATAATGGACATGAGTCTGATGGTCTCTATGTCATCGATACTTAAGAACTAAAAATTGTTGCCTGTACTGGAATGATCACTCATTTTGAAGAACATTGTCGTTTAGGTCATTCCTTGCTTCTCTCTTAAAAGAAACTTTGTTATTAATTTTCAAACTTAACGTCTTTAGATTACAAATCTTTTCAGTTTGCTAAGCATCATCACATTAGTTCAAACCCTATAGTTAATAAACGTGTCTCTACCCTATTTGAGTTAGTCCATTATGATGTTTAAGGTCCTAGTATAGTTATATCTAAACCTTTTTTTATACCTTATTACCTTTGTTGATGATTATTCTAGTATAACATGGCTTAATTTCTTGAAACCAGGTTCTGAATTATTTATTCATTTTTCTTCTTTCTATGCTAAAATTCAAACTCAGTTTGGTACATTTGTTAATATATTACAAAGTGATAATGCAAAAGAGTATATTTCATGTCCTTTTCAAAAATACTTGCATAATCAAGGAATACTCCATCAAACCTTGTATGGTGATACCCCTTCTGAAAATGGTGTTGCTGAAAGAAAAATAGATATCTTCTTGAAACTGATTGTCCCTTGTTATTTCAGATGCAGGTTCCAAAATGTTTTTGGGTTGATGTCGTGTCAACCGCTTACTTTCTCATCAATTGTACGCCTTCTTTTATTTTTTGGATAAAACACCTTTCAATACTTTACTCCCAAATAAAAATATGTTTCCCGTCTCACTAAAAAAATTTGTTGTACTTGTTTTGTTCAGAATGTTTATCCTCATGTTACAAAGCTTGATCCAAAGTCCTTGAAATTTGTATTTTTGGGTTATTCTCGTGCATAAAAAGGGTATCGTTGTTATTGTCCAAGTCTGGGTATGTATATTGTGTCTACCGGTGTTACTTTTTTAGAACAAAACACCTTTCCACTTTTCTTAAGGTCTTGTGCATCAAGAGGAAGATGATTTCTTAATTTATCATATCCTATCAAACTTGGATTCATCATCTCTACATTGGTTCAGCCTTAATTTGATAGCTTCCATTAAAATTACCTATTCACATCACCCACAATTGCACAGTTCTAACCTGGTTATAGAGGTTCTACAATCATGTCCTATTGAGCCAATATCTTCATCATCATATTCGATTACCACATATGATCTTGATATTCCTATTGCCCTTCGAAAAGGTAAACGTACATGTGCATACCCAATTTCTTCTTTTGTTTCCTATAATCATTTTTATCCTCTTCTCGTGCTTTTCTTACGTCCTTATATACTATTTCTATCCATAAAATTATTCGACAGATATTAGCTCATATGGGATTACATATAGCTATGCTTGAGGAAATGACTATTCTAGAAGACAATGGTATGTAGACTTTGGTACCTTTAACTACTGATAAACAAGTTATTAGGTGCAAATGGGTGTTTACTGTTAAATAATAGCTCGACTTGTTGCCGAAGGATATACTCGGACTTATGGAGTGGATTATTATGATACATTTCTCATGTTGCTAAACTTGCTTTGGTCAGATTATCCATCTCACTTGTAGTCACTTTTGATTGGCCTTTGCATCAGTTGGATATAAAAAATGTCTTTCTTCATGGTGATCTTGAAGAGGTGCATATGGAGCAACCACCTAGTTTTGTTGCTCATGGGGAGTATAGGAAAGTATTTCGTTTGAATAAATCTTTATACAGCTTGAAACAAAGTCCTCATGCGTGGTTTGGGAAGTTTAGTCAGTCTATTGAGAAGTTCGGGATATAGAAAAATAAGTGAGACCATTTTGTTTTATTTAGAAAGTCTGATTAGGGCATTATCTTATTAGTTGTTTATATGGATGATATTGTAATAACTGAAAGTGACTTTTGCGGAAATTTAGCTCTGAAGTCTGTTCTCCATACTCAGTTTTACACCAAAGATTTTAGATGTTAAAATATTTTTTGGGAGTTGAGGTGAACAGAAGGAAAAGAAGAATATTTCTATCCCAAAAAAATATGTGATTGATCTATTATTGGAGTCGGGAAAATTGGGTGCTAAAACTTGTAGTACATCAATGGTCCCCAACCTACAATTATCCAAAGAAGGTGAATTATTTGAAGATCTTGAAAGGTACAGAAGATTGATTGGAAAATTGAATTGTCTTACTGTAATGCATCCTGATATTGCTTATCTTGTGAGTGTTCTGAGCCAATATATGTCATCACCAATTATATGTCATCACCAACTATTTGATGAGTTTTAAGATAACCGTGACTTGTTGCCCTCCAATCGAAGGAGCAAGATCATTCCTAGTTTTGACATCCTTAAACCAAGGAATCATGTCTCCCCAAGAAACGGTTGAGGAGACTATATTTGATCTTCACGAAAGGGCAATTAAGTAAATCAACATAGATCATATCTCCCCAAATCGTAGTGAAACATATCAATTTTCCAAGTTTATGCAAATACAGAGTTGCCTTAATCGAACAAAAATTGGTTATTTTTAGTCTTTGCTTTACTCTCGTTCGACGTTAGTGAGCAAAGAGGGGCAGTTGTAATACATAATTTTTTTTCCAGGTTCCAAACTTATCTAAATATGTATTTTCCTTAGGAAATGCTAGAGAGCCCAATCAAACTAACCATGAAGAAAATGAAAGTATCGTCATATCAGAGAATATCTTGGAAGAATCTTGACATATGTGTGATCTCCTATCAAAGGAAATGGTTATGCTAATTGTGTAATTAGATAGGACTGGATATTATGTTCTTAGATAGGGGATACTGTATGATATGGGTAAATCTTAATCGTCAATGTAAATAATTTATAGATCATTGGATGTAAAAAAGCTCAATTATAGATATATGTCTTTTCCATCCCAAAAAAAAGGAGAGGTAAAAGCGGAAGAAAAAAAAGAAAATGGGGAAAAAGAGAAGGGAGAAGAGAGAAAAAGGTGAAAATATGGGAAAATTCTTGTAAGAAGACCCAAAAAAGAAAAACAATAAAAGGTGGAATTTTTGAATCTTTCTCATGTTCTTCTTGCTTTCATGCTAATACTTTGATGCTCGCTTGGTCCTTTATTCTTTTTTATTTGCAAACCCATTGAGAGAAGAGCTCATGAACAAGTGATAATGATCTTGATGAGATCTTGCTCACTTTGAAACTCTTCAGTGAAATTGATTGAAGGATTATGTCATGTTAACTCTTTTCCCTTTGTATTAACATACCTATTTTTTGTTTCAACTTTTTTTTATGAATAATTATTTTTAAAAAATTCAATTAAATAATCTGAGGACCTGATTCAAATTCCTTAGGGTAACTGTGATTTTTAATAGATACCCCATTATTTTCTTGAAAATTCATTTCTGTCCCTCCTGTATCTCTTATCTTTTTGGATTTTCTTCAGTACTGCCGTTTATTTCTTCCATTTGTTTTGATTTTCCTTTCCACTTTCATTTTCAATTTACCTTAATTTGATTTCTTTATTATTTTCCACTTTTTAATTTACCCTTTTTTTATCTATTCCTTTTTCATATTTATTTAACACCACCGTTTAACTTTTAATTCATCCTGATTTTTCCTCATCTTTAATATAATTATCATGTTTAATATAATTGAAATACTTGATTTCCTGGAAACACGCCCTCGCCTTCTTCCATGTATTGTGATTTCTTTTTTATTTTTCTTTCTTTATTTTATTTTAAATTAATCTTATTTTAAACAACCATTGAGATAAAATTAGGATTAAATTTATTATGCGGTTAATTTTTAATGAGAGGATGAAACATACGTTTAGTAATTGATATAAGGACATATTTAATTTTCAAGTTTTATAAAATTTATTAATTTGTATATTTTTTTTTCTACTTTAATCTCTAAAAATTTAAACAAATTCTCATATCATTTTCATGACATCATTTACAAATTCCACTAACTAAATCTCTAATTGTTTCCATCTTATTTTCCTTCAAATTAAACAAAATTTAAAATTAATAAAAAAATATTATTGATTTTTGAAGTACAAGTTGACACGATTGTGATATATAAAAATTGCATTAATTAATATTAAATGGAAAAATTTAAAAATTAGAAAGAAATCAAAAAGATGTACGGTTAATGATTATGAGAGGGTGAGTCAGTGAGGATTGGGCATTGAAATTGAAAGGCAGCGAACTTATCCACTTTTTATTATGAGTATAAATTCAGATTAAAAAAAAAGAAGATATGTCGAATATATGGATAAGGGACACCCACTTTAATATAAATAAATGCTTAGGAAGCATTACTTTTTCTGACAATGACCTACCTAAGCAAACTAGCAAGGTGTATGGAATTTTCATCCAACCCTCTTCAAGTTATTCACTATTATTAATTTTTTTTATTGTGGTTAATAAATATATTTAATTATTCAATTAATACATATAAACTATAATAGATTGTTATGTATATATAATAAATATAAGTGATAGAATCTGTTCATATGTGTAAAAAAAATTAATTTTATATTTTTTTATAATTTATTTTTTTTCAAATAATATAATGTATGTTCAAAAGATTCATAATCATCTTACAATAAACGTTCAAAACACTCCTATATACATAATAATTGATTCAGGAATCACTAAAGTCATTTGATTCAAACTCTTTTTAAGATCATTGCATAAATGAAATTACCGATGAAAAATAAAAAGATATTCATTAAAAAAATTAAAAAAAAAATTATGTTATCTTTTTCATTCATCTAACAATCTTAAAAAAATATAAAAGTAAAATTTTTATATTTAATATAACTAGATCATAGCCTCATAGCCCAAAATACAAATATATATATTATATTTTTTATGGTGATATTTTAAAATTAAAATATTTATATGAAAAGCAAATAACATTTTTTTTGTTACATAAAATTATATCCAGAATAAGTGTAGACTTCCACACGCAAATAAGTATATTTATCTTAGAAATCTCATGCTGCGTGAAACAGCTCCTTTTGTCCTCCTTGAACATCACGAAAAATTTGTGTATTTGCTGTCATGGAATCATTATCCTTTTTTTTTCTAAAAAAACGCCTAATCCATTTATTTCTTTATATAAATATAAATCTTCTTCAGGTTTCAACTTCATGTGTTCCATTAGCTGAACATTTTCTTGTTGGTTTCTTATTCAATTGTTATCAGAAATGGGTGAAGAAGACGATGTTAAAGAATTGTTCGAGTCCCCAGGTTTCGTTGATCATCATCAGAAAGAGGATAGACAAAGAGATCATCAGTGGAAGAACATGGAAAACGATGACGGTGAAACTTCGGCTTGTGAATCATCATCCATGGAAGTTTCTTCAACAACTCGTTCTTCAATATCAGACATGATAGACGACGCATCTTCGTCTTCATCATCGACTTCCACTAATTCTAATGGACCTTTATATGAATTATCAGAGCTCATGGCACAACTCCCAATCAAGTAAGTTCATGCATTAATATCATTATTAACATGAGCTTCGTTGATAAAAGAAAGTGTTTTTTTCTCTTTAGATGTCTCGGATTCAAGCAGTTGTTGATTCAATCTTTCTTGGTTAACCCTTACGGTTCGAGTGATTAATCTGCAGGAGAGGTCTTTCGAAGTATTTCCGGGGAAAATCTCGGTCGTTTAGTCGTGTGTTGAGCGTTAGAAACATACAACAATTTGCCAAGAAAGAACGGCATCACAAGAGAAAAATCAAAGCATATGGTGGTGGCCTTAAACATACAACTTTTGCAATTTGCAGACCTCCTCCTTTTCCAGTACAAACTAAAAACTTCTCATCGTTATAGTTTCCTTTTAGATCAAAATTGAATTATTAGAATCCATGCACATGATTGCCGCTGTTTCCAAACTCATTTTTATAAGGAAAACTGATCGAATTTGCAGATGATAGATTTTGTAACTTTGATCCTCCATGATATACGTAAAATGAAATGATCAATTTAATAATTTACTGTATCATTGATTGTTTTGTTAATATAAATTTTGAGATGTAATTTCATCTGGATTAGTTCCTGCTGTATAGAACTGGAAATCCTCAGATTCAGTTTTAAAATCTGCACTCTATGACAAAATGAAATGCTTTGCCTTTTCCTCAAATCATAGTTAAAAGTAGTGCAGCATGGATCTAATTAAAACCCTTGATAATCTTGAGGAATCTGAAAATCATATATCAAGAGTTAAGATTCAAGAATTCTCATACGACTTGACATGAAATCAAAAGAAAACAACCCAAGGAAAAGTTATATATTTTAGCCAGATTATTTGGCATCTAACCTTCTAACAATCAAATGTCCTTAGCAAACCAGATGTGGATGAAAACATTAAATAATCGACGTAACATAATTGGAAATTCACACTTGAAAACATAAAAAAAAAAAAAAAAACTAAAAAAACTGAAATAAAAGAAAAATAACACTCGCCAAGAGAATCCTTTAAAATTATTTATTTAATTTCTAAGCCTATTTATATGTGTCTAAAATCCTAAAACTTGGGTATATTACATAGAAACTTTCTTTTATCTAAACTAGAAGACTTGATAAATTATGGGATGTTCATAATATTCTTGAACTTGGGCTTCATCCAAGGCTTAGGCTTTTATGGGCTAAATTTGACATGTAATTCGGCGAAATTGGCCCAGTACGGTTACAGGTTTTTTATTTAGTCCAATATGATAAGTAAAAGTTTATTTTGGGATCTACGACATTATAGTAATATGAACTTGTCACGTCGAGGTGTCGAGTTTCAATAAAAAATAATTTTATTCAAACATTTTACCTCAATATGATAAATTTTAATATAAATTATATTTTATTAGAACTCGTCACATCGAGGAGACGAATTTAGAAAAAAAATCATTGAATTAACGAGTTCCATGAACACTGTAAAAAATGTTATAGATTTCAAAATAAACTTCTGTTTACCCTAATTTTCCAAATAATTTACTCGTATGCCCTATTGGGCCAAAAAAAACCCACGTAATTCTTTAAGGGTTTGGATTTGTAACAGGTTATCGAGCTAGCTTACTAGATGGATCAATTGTCATCTTCGTTAAACCTACAAATATTTGGGGGAACCAAGGCTCCCCTTGACCCCGTGAACTGCTGTCAAATATGTATGCTATCAAATGCGCATTGCTGCACCAATTCACAACCATTTCAAATCATCAAAGCTGTTGTGTGTATTTTACCAAAGATTATTTTTTACTAATTAGGTTCATACAAAAAGATCAATTTGATCGTTCTTTATTCTCTCATGATTTGCTTCCTTATAATATATAAACAGAATATAATATGACACTTTGGGATACAAATATTGACAATATATTGTGGTGCATATTCGAATAGTGTACACGAAGTGTGAACAAGGATGCACGAGGCACAAAATATCTACGCCTGAAGCGTGAAGATCTCCATATAGTGCGTGTGAAGAATATAGTGTCTGAGGAGTAGAAATAATATTATGCTTATAACATGAGTACAATGTGGTGCCTAAAATATGAGTCATCTTTAAAATTGTAATGTTTTCCTTGATTTTGTAAGTTGAAGCGTTGTCCATATAGAGTTTTCACCTTTCCCATAAAGAATCACTACATCAAAACAAATATATAGTGGCATTTTTAGCGGTGTTTTCAATGAAAACGCCACTAAATTTATACATATTGCGGCGTTTATATCCAAAACGCCACTAAATGGTAACATTAACGGCGTTTTTCAACAAACACCACTAAAACTAGTACGCATTTATTTGACAAACGCCGCTATAGATAAGTATAGATAAGTACTTTAGTGGTGTTTTTAAGCAAACGCCGCCACAGACTCGTCCTTTAGTGGATTCTGTGGCTTTTTTAAACAAAAGCCGCAATAGGATACATATATAGTAGCTTTTTTTGACAAACGCTACAATGGTATACATATATCATGGTGTTTTTAGAAAACCGCCGCAACAAATTAGTACTTTAATGCCGTTTTTTTACACAAACGCCAAAATAGGTTTCATATATAGTGGCAATTTTGAAGAAACAGACTTGTACTTTAGTGACGTTTTCTAAAAATGTCGCAATAAGTTTCATATATAGTGGCGTTTTTAAACAAACGTCGTGACAAACATGTACTTTAGTGGCAATTTTTTAGAAAACCACTATAGAATGATAAATGGTGGCGTTTGTGTCTAAAAACATCGTAATGTTTGTTCATTTTAATCGTGTGAAACCCTTTCCCCTTTTCCATCTGCTCCCACAATCCCCTTTCCTATTTCCCATCTCCGGCGGACATACCCACAGGGCCGGCCCTGGGCCAGGGCAGGACGGGCACCCGCCCAGGGGCCACAAAATAATTTTTTTTCAGTATAATATTTTTTATTTTTTCTGATAATAAATTAAAAGATTGTAAAACAAAATAGAGTAATCTATGCATTTAGTACCTATACTATCAGTTTTGATCCGTTTTAGTACCTAAATTTTAAATTTTTTACAAAATCATATATAACCTTTAGTTTTCATTTCATTTTAGTACCCGTCGTTAAAAACTTAATGCGTTTAGTACATAACTATCAGTTTTGGTTTGTTTTAGTATCTAAAATTTCAAAAAAAATTAAAACTTAATGTTAAATTTTGAATGGATACTAAAATGAAAAAAAAACTATAGTTTTTAATGGTGGGTACTAAAATGAAACAAAAACTAAACTTTACGTATGATTTTGAAAAAAATTAAAAGTTTAGCTATTAAAACATATCAAACTGATAATTTTGGTACTAAATACATAATTTACTCAATAAAATAATGGGGCCCAAGAATTTATTAAGGTGTCAGTTATCTTTATTGAATTTTATATTAACATAAATAAGCTATTCTTCCATAAAATTCTAATTTAATATTTCTTTCTCAAAATTCAAAAAAAAAAATCAATTGAACTCTTTAATTTGGTCTTTCCAAATTCCCACTATCAATTCACCAAATCTCTTTCCCGATTTTCATATCAATGAAAAAATATATATTAACATTATTTTTTTTCAAAACTTAATGAGAGAAAAAAATTTAAGTATAATTAGTATGTTTTTTTTCTCTTTCATTTTCACGATTCATCTAAAAATTATTATTCTCATTTTTTAATTTATCATATTTGTATCACACGTAAAGTCACAATTGTTTGTTATCGATTATGGTGCTTGAATAATATTGAAGATTGTTCTTAAAATTCTAGGTAGATCATGTTTTCAAATTCTTTCTTTTAATTTTATATATTTTCAAATTCTAGAAATAGAAAAGATCGTTCTTTCATTTTCAAATGTTATGATATGTATTGAGAAAAATATGTTGGAAAGCATTGATGTTGACACTATCATCAATGGTTTTGCATTAAAATATTCGAATGTAATATTTTTTTATAAGTATTAGTATTCTTAAATATATTTTTTGACATCTTTTATATTGTAATGAATTACTATTTTTTAATTTTAAAAAATCTAATAAAATATTTATATTAGATATTTCTTAATTTTTTTTATATTAGAGGCCTATTTTTTTAATTTTCTCCCCGAGCCTAAAAATAGTCAGGACCGGCCCTGCATACCCAAATACCCACTAAACTGTTGATGCTCGTCGTCGCTGGAAGCCGACGAGGCCTCCAACGTTACACCATCAACGCTCAACTCTCTGATTTGAGGTGCGAATTTCACCATTTTCACAGGTATAATCTCTTCACATGTTCTCTTCTATTCTCTCTATAATTTCTTTGCCTCTTCTTCACACTGTTATAGGATTCATATTTTAGATGCAACTAGATTTATTGGTTCCACGATTCTCTCTATAATCTCTTGGCCATGTCAAGGGATGGAAAAAAAAAACATTTCTTGTCTTTGCTTTACCCTCCTATTCTCTTTCGTTTTGCTTGGAATTTTCCAGGGATTTTCTAGTTGAAAACGTTTATTTTCAAGTAAACTTTCAGCGCTGTATATTTCATCTTTGAACAATTGCACCCGAATCACTCACCTATTTTAAATTAAAATTATAATTTTTGAAGTTAATGCCAGGAAATGCCAGCAAAAATATAATGCCAACTTTTTCTATCCATGTGGGATTGGGGGAGAAAGAAACGTCTGTACTTTACTACAATTTTTTTAAACTTGTAGAAAATAATTGGATTTAAATTAATATATAAAATATTGTTGACTATGATCCCATATTAATCTTGGTTCGGTAGTAAGGTGTGTCCTTGTTCTCTCATAGGTTTTTACTTTTGAGGTTCGAGTCCTTTTTTATTTTCCTTTTCTAGTTTTTTCATCAATAAGATGCAAATTAGGTGCAATCCTGATGTAAGGTGTTCTACACGCTTTGGGAGAAGAGAGTAGATAGTCTTATTAAGTCCCGATCTAAGATTGACAAGTACTGATGTCCTTGAATTATAAGCTTCGGTTGCAAATAAGATTAATATGGGAATAATAAATGGAATAATAAGATAAATAATGAAATGAAATAGTAGGGATAGAGATGGTTGCGGAAATGATGGTCTTGATGGATGAAGTTGATAGTGTTGATGCTGAAAAATGGAGATGGTGTTGTTGTTGTATCTCAAACACGCCAAAGATGAAATAGTGCTAAGGAGCACAATCCTGGTCTTCACAAACTTGTTTGAGGGGTGGTGATAGTGTCTTTAACCCACTAGATATTAATCTAGGAATTTAGGAATCAGGATGGAAGGAATGACGCCACAAGTATAGGAATTATACTTGTTTAATCGATAAAGTTCACAAAGAACTTTGAAGAGAAATTAACTCACAAGAGTAATTTTTATATATGAGATGAGATAAGTACAAATGATGGCAAGCCACTCTATTTATAGGAAATGAGAGGGCTTGGCCGAATGGTTACATGATGTTTCGGCTAGATACATGACTTTAGGAATATACATAATGCTTCAAAATAAAAGAACATGTCTATAGGCTTGGTGTTGGTTTGGCTATCCCTTCATGAAAGGGGCTCGATGATTTGACTAAGGATGGGAAGGTATCTCCCTTGGCCGAATAGGCATGCTTGTTCATCTTGGCGCCATTTTCTTCTCTGTGGCCGAATGGGCTTGTATCTCCTCATGTTGGCGCCAAATGCTCTCATGTGCATATCATGTGTTGTGGCTGAATATATATAAAGCTTTATATCATGTTCCATGGTAATTTAAGCCTCCAATGATTACAATGTCTTCACCAGCATGCTCTTGATGTAAAGGCATCTTCATGGGCAACATCATTCATGAAAGGTCACAATGTTTGAGAAAGGTAACCCTTAATGTTTGAGCTACTTATGGTGTAAATGAGTTAAAGGTGAGCTGGCCATAGGTGACTTGTAGCATGGTGAACACTATGGCAGCTCCTTGTGAAAAGGTACCTCTTGAGGTGGCAACTATTCGCGAAAAGGTACGATTTCACAAATTTTGACTTAGGACATATTTGAAGTGTCCTAAGTGGTGATGATGATGGTGCATCTCCCCAGCTGAAAGGAGGTCATCTTGTAGCTCAAATCTTCAACTCAATCCAGCTATGAGCTCACGGCCTCTAGACAATTTTTCACCAATTTGCTCTTTATGCTCTCTTAATCGTTCCCATGTAAGTATCCTTATTGTTGCATGCTCCATTTAGCTCCAATGTAGCTCCCAAGTATTGGTCGAATGTGCCCACATGCATAACATAAAGAAATAAACTTGTAATACCCTAACTTTTTCCGGGCCATTTGAATCATTTGAAGATGCTTGAGAATTAATTTGGAGGTTTTGTGTTCGATGATGAATTAATTCAAGTGATAAATCATGGGTATTTTCGTTTGAAAGCTTGAAGTGCTTAATTGGATTGATCGCATATGTTTCATTTTGGAGATTGAGAGACAAATTAAAATTCAACACCAAATTAATTATCTAGAGCCCATCTCACAAGCTCAAACCAAATTACAAAATAATAGATCCAATTACAAAGCCCAGCAGTAATTACATTTAAACTCAGGCTTCAAGACCAGACCCGATTTTGGCAGCTAGCTCCCACTTGAAGGCTTTGTTCTGCTCCACGTCACTCAATCACCAGTTGTACAGATCAAACAGTAGTCGTGAGCACCACGCCCAACAGCAGCCCCTGTCGGCCACTCGTGAATCCACAACAGGAGACCCATGCGTTGCAGCAGCCCCATGCTGCCCACGTGAAGGCCCTATGCCCATGCTCCAATGTAGCAATCCAACCGAGCAAACACACTGCTCCACAACACCATGCCCCGATGGAGATTCCAGCAGCTAATTGATTAAGCTGCGTTGGTCTTGCAGATTTCTGTATCCCGGGCAAAGACCCATGTTGGTGACATTTCCAAGCCTCGGCGTGGAGTACCACGCCTGACAGCACTAATCGTGCCCATACCCTACAATGTCACGGATGAAACCAGAGAAAAAAAAGCAATTAAAAGGGAGGAGATAAAAAGCAACAACGATTCACGAAACGGGGAACGGACGGCAAAAGGGGTTAAAGCAGAAAAGCAAAAAAAAAGGGGACTCTTGGTAACGAACAGGGGAGATGACACATCAGGAGAGCAAGCAAAAACAGATTCAACAAGGGATTAGGAGGGGGCTTTGACTCAGGATTTTTTTTCTTTATTTCAAAAAATAATGTATTAAGGGCTTCTCCTCTCATTTTCGAATGAAAAGCACTTTTTCCTTTTCTGTTTGTGAAGAAGATAACAAAGCAATATAAAGCAATTTCGATTCACTCATTCAAAGCACAGCGAAAACCAAGTAATTTCTTCAGAGGTATTTTTTTCTCTTAAAATCGACAGAGCCATATCCATTTTTGTTCTTAATAAATATATTGTGCATAGAGTAGAGAGAAATTACTTACCATCCAGAGAAGGTCTCGACGCCGGAGTTGAAGCCATCGGAGTGGAGAGGCTCGAGCAACCGAGGGGTCCTGCTCCAAACAGGGTTATCTCCTTTAGTTTTATAGAGTATAGAGAACAAAGAGGAGAGTTTCAACTTAGCTTACTTCTTGGGTTTGAGTCTTCGCTGAAGTAGGGAGTTTCGTGTTAGGTTTACCGGAGTTGCGCCGAGGTTTTGATCTCTCTAGGTTGGGGTGGTGAACGGTTGTGGTTGAGTGAAAGGAGGCCACCAACATATGCTGGCCGATGAGCTTTGGAGCTCTCGAGCGGTGCTGTAAGTGAGGGAGAGGGGTGAGAGGTGCTGTTTGAGAAGAAAGGGGGGTTTACGGCTGAAGCTGGTAAATGATGAGTAGGGTTTTAATTTTAGTTTAAGTAGGGTTATAGGCAAAGCATAAAATGGTGACGTTTAGAGGGTTTAGGGTATCCATTTTGCACAGGGTTTATCTTCGGTTTTAGCCATTTAAATTTCCATATTTATGCGTTTTAATCCTTAAATCGATGTTTTTGTACTTCTGATTTTGTCACCCTGTTTTACCCGAATTCAATTTAGGTCCTAACTGATAATGTATTTAGTTTCTGTTTGTTTATGCTTTTGATTTGTTCTTTTACACAGGTTATATTTTAGTCCTAGAATGAAACTTTTCTTTTTTTTTTTATTTTGTTATCAATTGTTGCGTGCATTTGATTTTAGTCATTGAATCGAAGTTTCCAAGGTTTTAATTTGATCTTCATATTTGTCAGTTTTTTTTAGTCATCAGTTTGTGTATTTTTCTTTCTTTTTTTGTTTGTTTTCTTATTTAGCATGTAATTTTGGATTAATTGGTGTTTTAGTCTTTAAATCTAATATGTTGTGTTTTAATTTGATCGTTGTATTTCATGCTTATTTAATTTTAGTCATAAATGTTGGTTACTTTGTTTTTGTCATTTAGACATTAGGGTTTCAAGTTTCTACATGTTACGTTTTAGTCCATGTTTAAGTTTCTTATGTGTATGCATGTATGGTTAGTTAGGGTTCGTTTCGGGTGTATACTTATCCTAGGTTTGAATGATGATGATATGTGTGCATATGTTATTACGTGGTTCATAAGCATGGATTTAGATGTAACATATATTTTTATTTAATTAATCTTTGTATGACATCATTTTTGCATAATTTACATGATACCCTCACGTGCATAACTTGACTCTTATTACATAATTTAATTAAGGGTACTATCCTTTTAATTTAAAATTGTTTTAAGTGGGTTGTCTTAACTGATTAGATATCCGCTTTTGATGATTTTAAATTAAAAGTATATCCCATTATTGACACTTTAAAAAAAATTGATCTATCGTTTTAAAATTTGGGAACGGAAGAAAAATAAATATTCGGCTATTTAAATTTATCGAGAAAAGGTAGTTAGAACTTATCTAGGATCTCGTCTCGATATTTGTAAATAATCGAATATTCTTTATCTTTCTAAATGCTTGGTAATTTTAATTTAATCAATTTTGGTGCTTTTGAATGTTGTAAAATTCATGTGTTGTTTTGTCGGGGATCATAAACCAAATTAAACTCGAATTTGTAAATTTCATTGCAAAGACATTAATTAATCGACGAGGTAGGGCATTGTAAGGGTGCTAATCCTTCTCCACGCGTAACCGACTCCCGAACTCATTTTCTGGTAACGCGGACTTAAATTTGTTGTTTTAATTAAAATTAATTTTTATTTAAAATGACAAAACATTTTTGGGGGCCCAATCACACCCTAATCAAAGAATCGTGGCGACTCTTCGAACCTTTGTTTTTATTGTAAATGAATTCCCAAATTTTCGAAACGAGAGGTTTTCTAAAATCACATGGTTTTTAATTAAAATTAAATCATAAAGAAAATAATAAAAAATGATGCGGTTTTCAAAATCTCACTCCCCACCGTTCAAAAATCATTTCGACAGCTTGGCGACTCTGCTGGTGACTTTTGTTAGAGAGTCAGGCTTATAGTCAATTAATTGATTGTCTTTGCAATTGGAAGTTATAAATTCGTTTTAATTTGGTTTTTGATCCCCTGTTTGGTTTTAATATCATTTGTTTGTAATTTGATTAACAAATAAATAGTTGTACTGATCTGTTTGTTAATGGTTTCAGATTAAGTATGTGTATAAAAGGGTTTGATTTTTTGGTGTTATGTGAATATGTGTAATTTTTATTTTCACTTTTCCTCACACACTGCACAGTTGCATTTGCATAACATGAGCTAAAACCCCGCTCCGTCCTAATTAAGTAGGAGTGAGAGACTACTCCCTCGTGTGGTTTTCACCTCCGCATGGGATAATGGATCAGTCCTGGAGCTCACTCCTTATGGTCCTCATGATGGTATTCACCTCCGCATGGACATAAGGAGGTGTGTTCCCTCGAAATTGAACTCGATCCCAAGAGCCTGTGATGGGCTAGGATTGAGGGTTCGACAGCCCAAGTGGGCATCGGCAAGGACAATTCGAGAACCTAATACTTTAGAACTGAACCCAGCATGTAGTGAACATAGAGCTTGAACTTAGGTTGAGCCTAACCCGAACCTTAAGAGTCCCGTGATGAGTGTAGACAAGGAAAATTTTCGAGTCATTTATTTTTTCTTTTTCGAATAAATGCATGCGAACTAGAAATCATGCGGTTAGGTTTATTTTCTCAAACAATCATGTGAATTAGATATCATGCGGTTAGAATTTTTTGTAAATAACAAAGCTTGGGGGTAAATATCATGTTGGGTAGAATATACTAAGCATGATCGAGTAGCCAGCATGTGAGGGTAGGTTTTATTTATTATGATACTCATCATTTTGTTGTTCATATTTTGTGTACTAACCTATTTTTGGTTTTGTCTATTTTATTTTGAATTTATCGCATTTTCATCTTCATCCAAAGGTGTTAATTCACAAGTGATTGACTAATAAGAAGGTTGTTCATAATGAGACAAGAAATTCTTGACCATGTAGTCAAAATAGGGAGATCCAAAGATGTTCAAACAACTCATCTGATGAATGAAGAAGTTTCAAGTTGATTGAAGAAGTTTCAAGTTGATTGAAGACTACCTTCAAAGGAGCCGAAACCAAAGATGTCCCCTCAGGAGATAGATGGAATCATACCAAGGACGAGAAGACCTTCCGCAAAGACATAAAGGCCACTTTGCATTGAATTAAAATGGAGATCTCAATATTCAACATTCGACATCATTAAATGTGATAAAGTACACTGACAACTTAGAAGTACGGCTCGAAGAAATGAAGAAATGAAGAATCACAATTGTATTTTGACTATAGGGTGTAATGAATTCCTGTTGTCTGAATGAAGGTTGTTCTATAGTGGTCACTTTTGGAATTAACACCTTGGGCATTTGCATTGGCATTCTTATTTTACATTAGCTTATTAGTTTATTTATTTTATCTTGCTATTGTTACTTTTTGTCATTTTGATATCTCATTTGTACTAACTTGTTTGTTATATTGTTTTTCTCTTTGTCTGCATTGTATGATCATGATATAATTAAAAGGTGTTGATTTGTGAGTGTTCATCATAGTAAAAGGTTTTCATGATGGACAAAGGGTTTCGTGATCAAGCAAGCTATAACACGGTCAAGAATTGGCATCCTGAGAAAGCTTCGAGAATAGTGGAGAGATCTGCGCCCAAAGATCGCATGGCTGACGAGCGGCAAAGGGAGATAAGAGAATTGAAAGAGCAGATGTCGAAGATGATGGATAGAATAGATGCTTTGGCCGAAGGAAGTGGGACTTCTACAATAGAAAAGAAAGAGCTCGATCTTGAGGTGTCAAATGTGCAGGAGACTGCTTTAGAGCCTACTGATTCTAGTCAGTATGAGAAGCCACGCACAATCATTGTTCGTATCAACAAGCTGTTTGGAAACGCCAAAGAAATAGTAGAAACTGTAGAAGTTCAGAAGATTGAAAAGAAGCAATGCAACCAGAACTTGTTGGTGTTTGATAGTCTACTCCCCACATCAGGGGAGATAAAACTTGAAACTCCAGCTCAATCCAAGTCGAGAGGTGGCCCTCGTTTTGATTCTATCCCAATATCATATAAGGAGTTGTATGATGCACTATTAGAAGCCCGAGAAGTGGCCCCACATTATGGAAACCTTTGCAGCCTCCATATCCACGTTGGTATGACGTCAATGTTCATTGTGATTATCATGCTGGAGTTCAAGGACATTCTATCGAGAATTGATCTACCTTCAAACATCGAATCCAGCATCTTTTAGATCATGGAGTATTGGAGTTCAAATTGAAAGATCAACATAGTTTGATAACAGATTGTCCTGTTGAGTTTGAGCCAAAAGAGACCAAAGGTAAGGGTATCAGTGAGGACAACCAAGAAAAAGATAGTTTGCCAAGATATGAAGCTCGGATTCATCGTTTGAGAAAAAATGATAGATTGAGCAGAGAGATGGAAGTAATGCGAGATAGTTTTCAAATGATCAGCCAAGCCTTTAAATTTTCTGGCATAGGAAATGTCCCAGATGAGTGGATAATTGGGGTCGCTAAATTGAAGAATGATGTTAAACAGTGGAGAAAGAATTGCAAGGTGCATAAAGGCCGATCGGATAAGTTTTCTTATGAATTATAGATTGCAGAGAAAAGGCACGATGCAGCTATCGGTGATTTGGGTAGATATCAAGCTAAAATCCAGACGTTAAATAGGTCTATAGCCAACATGGAAATTTCATATCAACGCCATAAGCGGGAGAATGAAGCCGAGCTAGAAGCCACTAGAGCTAAGAGCAAGAAGTTGATGAAGATGGTGGATGACTGTAGTGATCTTATGAAGGATTTTCATAACCAAAATGACTTTCTTACAAGGAAAAATCAAGAGTAGTGTCTGCAGCTCCAAGAATTGGCACTCAAGATAGAAAAAAGGGACAAAGTCATGAAAGAAGCTATGACCCAAGTAAGCAATGTGGCTCACAAATGGGTTGATTTAGCTGGCTTTGCAAGAGAATTGAAGCAGATTGACAACTAAACCCCCGAGCATGAGTGGAAGTTACTTTGGCTTTTGAATGAGATAGAAAAGCTAGGAGTGAAAGCTGTCCATTATATGTAAAGTTTGTTTGATGTACCGAGACCTTTGTGTTCAATAAAAGTTGTTTTAAGATGATCACTCTGGAATGACACCTTTTGTATTTGCATTTAGCATTTGCATTTGCATTGCATATATTTATTTAAGCCTGTTATATGCATTAATTATGGAAACATGGAAATAACTTATGAAAGATTATGTGACAGTAATAACAAGATCATTCATTCATATTACTTCCTCATCATCATGGAAAAACAAATGAAAGCATTGGAACAATCTAATAAGGAACCGCAAGATCAGTTGCAAGAGCAGTCGGTCGAGTTACAACAAGGTACGAGGAATCAAGTATCAGATTCTCTGCAAGGCGCATCGAATCAATTGATCCAGGTGCTGGCACCACGAGCTGTTGGTAAAGAAAAAGGAAATCAATGTCATCATGTTAATGCATCCAGAGCGATAGTTTGCCCCGGAGCATCTGACTCAAGCCAAGGGAAGAGCCTCTTCAATTATGTAAAATTTGAAAACGAATTTAAGTGGTTGAATGAAGCCGTTAAAAATATGAAAGTTGTTAATGCCACTCACAAGGAGTTAGAAGCCAGAGAACTCAGTTTGGTCCCTGATTTGGTCATCCCACATGAATTTAGAGTACCTAATTTTGAGAAATATGATGGCACCAGTTGCCCCCTAATTCATCTGAAAATGTTTTGCAGAAAGATAGAAGGGTACTTAGATGATGATAATCTGTTAATTCATTATTTCCATGATAGTCTTGCTGGGCCAGCTGTGGTATGGTACAATCATCTGAACAATGAGCATATCAAGACTTGGGTCAACCTAGCTGATGCTTTTCTGGGGCAATATCGATATGTTAAAGGCTTACCCCCAAAACGTCATCACCTTTAAAAGATGAGGATGAAAGTTACTGAGAGCTTTAAAGAATATGCCCTAAAATAGAGAGGAGTGGCGGCACAAGTTCAACCTCCTTTGCTAGAAGAAGAAATATCATGTATGTTTCATGATTCTCTCCCAGCTCCTTATTTTGAGTTAATGCTGGGAAATTCGATGAATGGCTTCAAGGATATTATGGTGGCTGGAGAATCAATTGAAGATGCAATCAGCAAATGAAACTTGAAAGTCACTTCCAAAAGCCTGAAAAATCAAGAGGGAAGAGTTTATGAGGTGAATGAATGTCACGTTTAAAGCTCTCACAACCGTAAGAGAAAAGGGGCAGCTGGTTGCTCAAGTCATCCAAAGAAGGTACCAAGATTGAAAAATACTTTGAAAGTGTTCCAAACTTCTATCTCATATCTGTATCCCCATTTGGTTAAAGGTCAATACCTCACACCGAGGCTAGTGAAAGTGCAACCAAACCCTTCTGCTTACAGCTATGATCCAGATGGTGTTTGTGATTTTCACTTGGGGGCATTGGGGCATTCTACGGGAAATTGTAGGCCATTGTTAAAAGAGATAGAGATGCTTGTGGAAAATGGGACGTTGACACAAGAACTAGTGGAACAATGGATGACGAGCTAGAGTGGGGCACTAGAGCACAATATATAGCACCCGATCGAATCAAACGCCACTGCATCAGAAGAATAATGGGGCATCCTGACTGCGCAGAAATCATTTTGTTCATCATGAAACTTTTTGTCATTTGCAACATCTTGTTTGAACATGTTTTTTTGGATTTTCTCATCAATTTTTTGCAATGATGTTTAAATGAATTCATATTACTTTAAGGAGGGTGAGCATTAAATTGAATTTACGACTTGAAATTCATTGAATATCAATTGAATTAAAAGCTCTTTAATGAGTAGAGTTATAAATTTTTGACAAAATGGCAAGGTTGAAACCTGATAAAACAAGGACCCTAGACCTTACCCCCAGAAGATACAATCGAACACCATACTTTTTATTGCAGGGACCGATATAGCCTTCTTCTATCATAATGAAATAAACCATAGGCTTGGTATTCAGATATGCATAAGAGCGGACAACATGGGGAATCTTTTGTGTACGACGTTACAAAACTGTCTAGAACATACTTTTTTTTATGACAGTTCAATGATGATTATGATCTTTACGGATGGAATAGTCGAGTAGGTGAATCTAGTTTAGGTCAGTTGCTTGGAAATTGAACTCTAACGATGAGATTTTCTGACTTTCAACAACACCTAGACTATAACAGGTTCTCCTCAGCAAGCTTAAGAAATGGAATCCGTATACCCAATATATATATATATATATATATATATATATATATATATAATATGTGATTACAATAAAGCTGAGCTATTCCACTAAGGCAATTGGTTATAGAGGAAACTCGAAAGCCCTGGCTTTATGAATAGATTATATTCAAACCATGACCTTGATCGGGTACTTGGCAATTCGGTGTATGCTCCACTGTGATTGTCAAGTCAAAGACTTTGTGATGAGATGAATCCTTCAGCTAGCCCGATAAAGACAAATTACAATAAAGTTAATTTCAGCTAGCCAGACAATGGCAAATTAAATTAATTTTATAAATAAGGAGTTTCAGTAAAGATAGACTAAGGGAGTTAAGGAACACCTGTTATAGTCAGTTTCATACGTGCACTCAGAAATTGCATTTTTAGATCGATATTTCTGCACTTCCTTGGTTAGAGGAGTCTACGAAGCTTAAACAAATGGAAGATTTCAGAGAACTGAAATGGAAGGGTTCTAGAAAGTCTAGTAATTGATTGTGCTAGTTGTGTCATTTTGTCCGCATTCGATTAAAATACCAAGCCATGAAATATGGGCATGTTGCGATGTTCAAAATGATCAAGAAAGAAGTGATATTTTGGTGGCCAAAACCTTAGAAAATAGGAAGCCAACCTGAAACCAACCCCTCAATTTTGACACTTGTCAAAGAGCTATAACCCTGAAAACATTAAAGAGCTATTAATTCTTTTGATATTTTGTGAACTCATGTTTATGATTTGATTCAATTGTGAGCCTGAATTAAAGGGCAATATTTTATAAAATTCTTTCATTCTTTTATCCCTAAAATAAGAGAAAGGGGAAAAACATTTTCAAACAGGACAGCTCAAATGTGAAAGGTCCTTGAAGCTGGTGAGTCTCATTATGCCTCTATGGGAGAAGAAGAATAAACAATTTCAGAACATGAAACATTCCACAATCTTGAAGCAAATGGTCCGAGAGATCGGAATGGAGGAAAGTTAGAACTGGCAGTATTTCCTTGTGAGACCGATAGTAACCCATCAAGGAAATAGATGACCGTCATATTTGAAAGGGGCACATATCATAGCTTATATGAAGAGAAGAATTGATCACTCCTTAGGTAGTATGAAAAGAAGCCCTCAAACTACTTGACAACACTATTGTGTAGTGACACCAGAATGAGAACATCCAAGTTAAGATATTTTGGACATGAAGAGATCCATGAATACCCACTTTGGGGCACGACTTAACCCACATCATGTTAAGATGACGAGATTTAGACCAAGGAGGCATGAAGAATGAGCCTTACAATTTGAGGTGATGGGGCATTTTGAAGGCTCGTACCATGTTGGGGCACGACTGAACCCGCAGCATGTTGAGATGAAAACATTCAGACCAACAAGTTATTAAAAATGAGTCTCGTAACTGGAAGTGTCAGGGGCAGACCGTGAATTTGAGCAGAGCTTACCTTGTAAAACAAATCAACTGAGCATTGATCAATGGCAGAGTCTTGGAAGAACAACTCTGTAAAGCATAATCGAGCCAAGGACGGAAATAGGGCAACACAGTCGTATTTCTGACTATAGCAAGATGTTGAGAGAGAAAACACTTTCACCAAAATGAAGAAAGAAAACAAAGACAACAAGAAGATAGAAGAAGATCAGAGGGTTCGTCAAAGATTCAAGTTGGAAACTATGGGTTGCTACACAAGCATATGAAGTAGACCCTTGAAAGAATGATCAAATAGAAGAAGATCAAGATCACCACTCTAAAGCCAAGTGAAGATTGATTCAATATTTATGCATTCATGAAAGCATCATTTGCATAAAAGAAAATGCATTACACTGATACATTTAGTTGCATTAGTGTTTCATGCATAGACACAAGGTTTTGACAGGTCTTCCAGTGAAAAGAGAAGATACAGGATGTCAAAATCCCAACAAGTTGAAAGGGAGATTTCAAACCTCAAACACAAGAAGTCATGTTTAGAGAGGTATACCCTGAAGAATTAAGAGGTCCAGTCCACAGACTAAGCATTACTTTGAAGCAGGGTATGTGGCCCGACCATTAAGTTGTTTTATGAAAGGAAATGAGAAAGATTTCTCATTAAAATTTGAAGAAATGAAATCTTTGAAAAGTAAGAAAGGTTTCTTACCTAGTAAACTATTTCCAAAGATGATAAGTCCTTCAGGCCATCCATAAAACCTTCAGGTAGGATGTTTTCAAATGAATTTGAAATGAAAAAAAAATGATGTTTTAAGAAGATGGAATTTTTGAAAACGAAGAATGCGATTCTCAAAATTTCACAATTTATAAGTCCTTCGGGCCATCAGTAAGTCTTTTGAGCATGATGCTTAAATCCTTCGGGTCATCTGTAAGCCTTTAGAGCAAGATGATAAGTCCTTCAGGCCATCCATAAAACCTTCAGGTAGGATATTTTCACATGAATTTGAAAAATAAAAAATGACGTTTTAAGATGAAATTTTTGAAAACGAAGAATGCGATTTTCAAAATTTCACAATTTATAAGTCATTCGGGCCATCTGTAAGTCTTTCAAGCATGATGCTTAAATCCTTCGGGTCATCTGTAAGCCTTTAGAGCAAGATGATAAGTCCTTCGGGCCATCCATAAGACCTTCGGGTAGGATGTTTTCAAATGAATTTGAAATGAAAAAATGATGTTTTAAGAAGATGGAATTTTTGAAAATGAAGAATATGATTTTCAAAATTTCAAAATTTATAAGTCCTTCGGGCCATCAGTAAGTCTTTCGAGCATGATGCTTAAATCTTTCGGGTCATCTGTAAGCCGTTAGAGCAAGATGATAAGTCCTTCGGGCCATCCATAAGACCTTCGGGTAGGATGTTTTCAAATGAATTTGAAATGAAAAAATGATGTTTTAAGAAGATGGAATTTTTGAAAATGAAGAATGCGATTTTCAAAATTTCACAATTTATAAGTCCTTCGGGCCATCAGTAAGTCTTTCGAGCATGATGCTTAAATCCTTCGAGTCATCTATAAGCCTTTAGAGAAAGATGATAAGTCCTTCTGGCCATCCGTAATACCTTCGGGTAGGATGTTTTCACATGAATTTGAAAATGAAGAAAAATGATGATTTGATAAGATGAAATTTTTTTGAAAATAAAGAATGTGATTTTCAAAAATTTCACAATTTATCAGTCATTCGGGCCATCAGTAAGTTTTTCGAGCATGATGCTTAAATCCTTCGGGTCATCTGTAAGCCTTTAGAGCAAGATGATAAGCCCTTCGGGCCATCTATAAGACCTTCGGGCCATCAGTAAGTCTTTCGAGCGTGATGATTAAATCCTTCGGGTAATTTTTAAGCCTTCACAGAAGAGTAGTGAAGCAAATTCATCAGTAAGTCTTTCGAGCGTGATGAATAAATCCTTCGGGTCATCCATAAGACCTTCAATCAAGATGTTTTTCACCAAGATAATAAGTCATCTGAGTCATTTTTAGCCTTTTTTGAAGAGTGTTAGAGCAAACCATCAGATCATCAGATGTGGAAGGAAATCAAAGATTCTCGGGTACGAAGAAGCGGGAAAACGATTGAAAGGGTTTGTGCACGTGAGATGGAAGCGAAAGTCAAGAAGAAGACTAAAGAAAGGAATAGACGATTCGGTCAAACAAAATTAGGTTATTTTTTATCTTTGCTACATTCTTGTGTTCACAACAACGAGCAAAGAGGGGCAGCTGTAATACCTTAATTTTGTTCGGGCCATTTGAATATGCTTGAGAATTAATTTGGAGGTTGTGTTCGATGATGAATTAATTCAAGTGATAAATCATGGGCATTTGCTTTTGAAAGCTTGAAGTGCTTAATTGGATTGATCGTATATGTTTCATTTTGGAGATTGAGAGACAAATTAAATTTCAACCCCGAATTAATTATCTAGAGTCCATCTCACAAGCTCAAACCAAATTACAAAATAATAGATCCAATTACAAAACCCAACAGTAATTACATTCAAACTCAGGCTTCAAGACCAGACCCGGTTTTGGCAGCTAGCTCCCACTTGAAGGCTTTTTTATGCTCCACGTCACTCGGTCACCAGTTGTATAGATCAAACATTAGTCTTGAGCACCACGCCCAACAACAGCCCCTGCCGGCCACCCATGAATCCACAACAGGAGACCCATGCGTTGCAGAAGCCCCATGCTGCCCACGTGAAGGCCATGTACCCATGCTCCAATGTAGTACCCCAACCGAGCAAACACACTGCTCTACAACACCATGCCCCGATGGAGACTCCAGCAGCTAATTGATTAAGCTACGTTGGTCTTGCTGATTTTTGTATCCCGGGCAAAGACCCATGTTGGTGACAATTCCAAGCCTCGGCGTGGAGCACCACGCCCGACAGCTTTAATCGTGTCCATACCCTACAATGTCATGGATGAAACCAGAGAAAAAAAGCAATTAAAAGGGAGGAGATAAAAAGCAACAACGATTCACGAAACGGGGAACGGACGGCAAAAGGGGTTAAAGCAGAAAAGCAAAAAAAAAGGGGACTCTTTGTAACGAACAGGGGAGAGGACACATCAAAAGAGCAAGCAAAAACAGATTCAACAAGGGATTAGGAGGGGGCTTTGACTCAGGATTTTTTTCTTTATTTCGAAAAACAATGTATTAAGGGATTCTCCTCTCATTTTCGAATGAAAAGCACTTTTTCCTTTTCTGTTTGTGAAGAAGATAACAAAGCAATATAAAGCATTTTTGATTCACTCATTCAAAGCACAGCAAAAATCAAGTAATTTCTTCAGAGGTATTTTTTTTTCTCTTAAAATCGACAGAGCCATATCCATTTTTGTTCTTAATAAATATATTGTGCAAAGAGTAGAGAGAAATTACTTACCATCCAGAGAAGGTCTCGACGCCGGAGTTGAAGCCATCGGAGTGGAGAGGCTCGAGCAACCGAGGGGTCCTGCTCTAAATAGGGTTGTCTCCTTTAGTTTTATAGAGTATAGAAAACAAAGAGGAGAGTTTCAACTTAGCTTACTTCTTGGGTTTGAGTCTTCGCTGGAGTAGGGAGTTTCGTGTTAGGTTTACCGGAGTTGCGCCGAGGTTTTGATCTCCCTAGGTTGGGGTGGTGAACGATTGTGGTTGAGTGAAAGGAGGCCACCAACGTATGCTGGCCGGCGAGCTTTGGAGCTCTCGAGCGGCGTTGTAAGTGAGAGAGAGGGGTGAGAGGTGCTGTTTGAGAAGAAAGGGGGGTTTGCGGCTGAAGCTGGTAAATGATGAGTAGGGTTTTAATTTTAGTTTAAGTAGGGTTATAGGCAAAGCATAAAATGGTGATGTTTAGAGGGTTTAGGGTATCCATTTTGCATAGGGTTTATCTTCGGTTTTAGCCATTTAAATTTCCATATTTATGCGTTTTAATCCTTAAATCGATGTTTTTGTACTTCTGATTTTGTCACCCTGTTTTACCCGAATTCAATTTAGGTCCTAACTGATAATGTATTTAGTTTCTGTTTGTTTATGCTTTTACACAGGTTATATTTTAGTCCTAGAATGAAACTTTTCTTTTTTTAATTTTGTTATCAATTGTTGCGTGCATTTGATTTTAGTCATTGAATCGAAGTTTCCAAGGTTTTAATTTGATCTTCATATTTGTCAGTTTTTTTTAGTCATTAGTTTGTGTATTTTTCTTTCTTTTTTTGTTTGTTTTCGCATTTAGCATGTAATTTTGGATTAATTGGCGTTTTAGTCTTTAAATCTAATCTGTTGTGTTTTAATTTGATCGTTGTATTTCATGCTTATTTAATTTTAGTCATAAATGTTGGTTATTTTGTTTTTGTCATTTAGACATTAGGGCTTCAAGTTTCTACATGTTACGTTTTAGTCCATGTTTAAGTTTCTTATGTGTATGCATGTATTGTTAGTTAGGGTTTGTTTCGGGTGTATACTTATCCTAGGTTTGAATGATGATGATATGTGTGCATATGTTATTACGTGGTTCATAAGCATGGATTTAGATGTAACATATATTTTTATTTAATTAATCTTTGCATGACATCATTTTTGCATAATTTACATGATACCCTCACGTGCATAACTTGACTCTTATTACATAATTTAATTAAGGGTACTATCCTTTTAATTTAAAATTGTTTTAAGTGGGTTGTCTTAACTGATTAGATATCCGCTTTTGATGATTTTAAATTAAAAGTATATCCCATTATTGACACTTTAAAAAATTTTGATCTATCGTTTTAAAATTTGGGAACGGAAGAAAAAAAATATTCGGCTATTTAAATTTATCGAGAAAAGGTAGATAGAACTTATCTAAGATCTCGTCTCGATATTTGTAAATAATCGAATATTCTTTATCTTTCTAAATGCTTGATAATTTTAATTTAATCAATTTTGGTGCTTTTGAATGTTGTAAAATTCATGTTTTGTTTTGTCGGGGATCATAAACCAAATTAAACTCGAATTTGTAAATTTCATTGCAAAGACATTAATTAATCGACGAGGTAGGGCGTTGTGGGGTGCTAATCCTTCTCCACGCGTAATCGACTCCCGAACTCATTTTCTGGTAACGCGGACTTAAATTTGTTGTTTTAATTAAAATTAATTTTTATTTAAAATGACAATATTTTTGGGTGCCCAATCACACCCTAATCAAAGATTGGTGGCGACTCTTCGAACCTGTGTTTTTATCGTAAATGAATTCCCAAATTTTCGAAACGAGAGGTTTTATAAAATCACATGGTTTTTAATTAAAATTAGATTGTAAAGAAAATAATTAAAAATGATGCGGTTTTCAAAATCTCGCTCCCCACCGTTCAAAAATCGTTTCGACAAAACTAAGTATATAAACTTATATAATGTATAATATAAGAATGTGAACTATAGTATATAATAACTTATATCTCATATATTAATGATTAAGTTATTATAATAACCATAGATATTATATATATGAAAATAACTATATTATAACATTTGAAATAAACATATATATGTGTAAAGTTAGAAAGTTTCTTCCCTTGTGAGGGTGGAATAGTCATGGTAAACATGATGCTGAATTGGATCACATCAAATCCTTTCTTCCCAAAGACATAAATCTAAGGAGACAATGCTACTCAATGAGTTCATAATGTCTGGGATTTTCTTCTTGATCAAGCTACCATCTTTATATCGGGTTAAACTATCTAAGGAGACTATGCTGGTTTTTGAAGCCCAATGATAGGAATGTCCATTGTTATGCTAGTTCAAGATGATTCGAGTGTTACCCTTGTAAGATAACCTCTCAGGAGTGGACGTAAGAATTTAAGTTAGGACATAAGATTTTAAAAACAAATATTTAATAAAATTTCGCAAAGTCGACTGATATCTATTATTGAATGAAATACGGAAGATGAACCAATGAGGTGGATGATAATGATATTACCTGCTGTGAAGCTCTTGGTCAGAAATTAGCCAACACTTAAATACCACTGCCAAAATTTTCCAAATTTAGCAGTTTGGGGTTCAAACATTAATAAACCAAGGGGAATTTTAATTAGGCTTTGGAAAGATTTTTGTTTGCCCTGAATTTGCTTACAGGGATTGAGCCCTTGAATTCATGATGATTAAAGTCATTTGTGGCTGGGATATGGCCTCTGAATGATTTGACTTCAATATTTTGGGTCCCCAACAGTACCTGGATCATCAAAGTAGACACCAAAGTATTGTGTTTTTTTTATAGCAGTCCTCTACAAATATGCGGTATATATATCTCCTTTTCACATTTTAGTTCATACATGTTTAGGGTTGTTCCACAACTTTTATATATATAATAATTTTATAGAATATGTAATACTATATAATTTTACACTAATATAAATAAACCGCATCCTTGAATTCTAATAATCTTGACTTAAAGGAGTAGTTATTCAATCTTAGACATTACTACCTCAACAAAACTAATAAATTTATATTGCCAAAAAATAATATTATAATATTAGCAATTAACATTAGAAATTGATATTCTAGAAATATGAAATGGATAAGAGTTGGATGGATATGTCAAGGGTAAGCGACGAATATCAAAATGGAGTCCAAACTTTTCTAAAATTGTTGTTTGTTTATTACAGATATTGTGCCCATGAGAAAATTAAGTGATTTGTGGATTGTTCGAGCTTCTCAAGAGGAGAAAGAAACAAATAATGAGGAATCGATTGGTGTTGGATCTTCGGTAGTTCCAATTACTATTGAAGAAGTTGTACAAATTGAAGGCAATGTTCGACACTTTCTTTAATTGCTGATTGATTTTAAAAACTTACATTGAACTATTTCTTATATAGTTGAAAATGGTGGAAGACGCAAGACAAGAGGACCCACAACGTTGAAGAAATTATACGAACTTCCTCCTAGGAACAGTGTGAAAGTTTCAAGAAACGATGTCGGTCAACCTATTGGCCCAGAAGCACATCTTCTATCCGGTTACTTAGGCATGGTTGCATGTAATGCTAATCTTTTACCGATCAATTATGAGTCATTATGTGAAATGCCAAATAGTAACAAAAATCAGGCTGTGAATTTTTTCAAGGTAATAATGTCATTATAATAGATAATCCATATTATTGTTCAATAGTAATTTATATTTACTTTGAACACTTATACTATTTGTAGGAGAAATTTTCTTTAGATGTCTCATACGATTATTTGAAGCAAGCGTTAGGGAATAAATGGAGAGAACACAAGAGTTCTTTAAAAAATAAAATTTTCAAGAATGATCTCAGCCTTGAAGAGAAACTGCAAATTGTCCCACATGGAATGCTCAAGTATCAATGGGAAGATGCAATCAGGTTTTGGAGTTAAAATAAAGGACACGTGTGACGTATTTTTCAAAAAAAATATAATGTCATTATAATATTGACTTTATAAGTAAATATTTTAAATTGTATGACATAGAGCATGTTGGTGTTGCTAGTAGACAATAAAAAAAGTTCACTGACGCAGTTGGATCGAAGAGCTTTGTTTGTATAGCTAATGATGAGGTATTATTGATTATTCACATAGTGATTTATAGTTGGTAGCACATAGTAACGAAAATTACTTATATTATTAATTATTTTTTTGCAAGACTTAATTTTTATTCTACATTGTGTGAAAATAAGTCTGGTAGTAAAGTTATTAATGAAGTTTTGGGTCTTGAAAGATATGGTTGAGTTCGCTA